CTGAGTTGACTGTCCCATAGTGTTTGTTAAATGATGATGACTGCTGTTAGTGCTATTATTGTTAGTAGTTGTTATGTTTTATTAAACATACTAATTACCACTGTCATTTATGTATTTGTTCATTTTTATAGTTTTCTTAGGAGTCCTCTGAGGTCAGCAGGAAAATGACAATGATAATAATTGTTTTATGATATCACTATGGAGACATCAATACAACAAAACTGAGTGACTTTCCAAAGACTTGTAGCTTCTGAATGGATCCCTGGATTCACATAGACAGTTTTTACTTCATTTGATTGTGTGTGTGTGTGTGTGTGTGTGTGGTATCTGTATGTGGTTTGTAACTGGTACACATACTTGTTGACCACAGGTTGGCCACAGCTGTCTTCCTCTATTGCTCTTTATTTTATTTTTTGAGACAAAGTCTCTCACTGAATCCAAAGCTTTTTAATCTAGGCTAGATTGGCCAGGCAGCAAGCTCTAGGATCCTCCTGCCTCCACATCCCCAGTGTTTGGGTTGTAGATTTACACACCTAAAACCAGGTTTTAAAAGTAATGTTTTCACTTATTCCTTGAAAATTTCTTACACACATAAGGAGATTTTGTTTAGATATACAATGACTACCTCCCTGCAGCTCCTCCTCTCCAGCTCCCCTCAACATACCTCCCTCCAAACCGCATGTTCTCCTCTTCCTCCTCCTCCTCATCCCTTGATTCCAATTAGAGCTGATTATATGGGCATGTGTGGCCATTTACTGGGGCACAGGGACCTCACCATTTGTCCTATTCCCAAAGGAAAAAGAGTGATTCCCATCCCCTCAGCAGTTACCAGTACCTCCTCCACTTTCAGTAGGCCTTGGCATCCTTCCCCCTTTAAGGGTTGATCTTGTGTACGTCCTGTGTAGACAAGCATAGCTGCTATGCTTTCCTGGGTGCAACGGCCCCACCCATCCAGAAGACAGCCTTTCACAAAGCTTCCCCCATCCTCCAGCTCTTACATTTGTCCCACCCTCTCTTCTTTATGTCCCTATGCCTTGGATGGGGAAAAGCGGGTTCCACCTGAGGCTTAGTTCTCACAGTCTTTCATCCTCAGGAGTTTGCCCAGTTACTGGTCTGTGGATTAGTCCCCTACACTGCAAAATCCAGCGACTCTAGCTGAGACTGACAGCAGCATAAGGCTGTGGATATAGATATAAACATTGAAAATGCATTTTGATAACTCAGCTCTTTAGTGACACAATGGTAGGTCCTCCTCTAGGGCCTTTAACAGGCCCAGTTATGTATGGCCTTTGGGCCAGATTTTCATCCCCGGGTATAAATTCCCACCTGTGAAGCAAACCTCAAAAGCCATGGATATGGGGATGCCAGAGTTCCAAATTAAGTCCTGTTTGATTGGCAAAGGCTTTTTCAACCAAACCATCTTCTCACTATAGTCCGTCCCTCAGGCTAATATCATTTTCATTTCTCGCTCTTTATCCCTCCCTCCATCCCCCCTCTCTCTAATTTTGCTTCCTGGCTATAGTCATTTACATCAATCTCAGAGTCATTTAGCATTAGCATTTCTCTGCTAGGTGAGGCTCGCGATTGACTCTATAATGACTGTATAAATGGCCAGGTCACTCCAGCGTTTGGGCACAGTCCTACAGGCCCTCGCGTATGCTGCCTCTTTCTCTTGGGTGAGGCGTTCCATTTCTTTTCTGTCCCTTGTAAGAAGCAGTGATGAAAGCATTTGCAATCTTGTCATCTCATCTGTCAGGAAAATTTACCAACTTGATGCGATTGTTTCACAGTCCATTCCAGAGTGAGGAGGATCTCAGAACATCGCTCTTGTCCACGGGAAACACATTATCAGTTATTTAAACCAGGGCCTCTCTCACCCCTACTCTAATTGACAGAAGGAATATCGGAAACCACTTTTCCTATTGCTATGAAACAGAATTGAGCATCTGTAGATGACTGAGCGAATGTTAATGAGGTTCATGTGCCAGAGAGAAGGAAAACCAAGATTTTTTTTATGCCCAAATATGGAAAATCAGCGGTCATAATGCAATGCTGGCATGAACAACCCCATTTTATGCCTGTCTGACCAATCGCAAGGCTACATCAGTAAGTACATCAGTAACTGCACCTGATAAATCAGACTAGAGAAGCCAAGGAAATCAGCACAATGAAAACGAGGAAATGAGCACAGGTGTCATCAGCACTGATGTTACACTTGTACATCTCTATTGAAAGAGGGACCCCTGGGAATTTCTACTGAAAGACAGATATTGCTCCTACATAGCAAGAGGCAGTTTGTAGAGGAAAGCTGAACAGAAGCCTCCCTTTCATTGGGTGCACCAGCCACATCACCTCGTGGAGGGATCATCTTCTAGTGTGCAGCTTGTGATAGACTTAAGTGCGTACTTCAAATTGCCTATCTAGAAAGCTTCAAGCAGATGCAGTACCTCTTATTCCTCAGTCTCCTTCCTGAAAAATGGTTAAAAGAGAAGAAACAAAAGCCAGCCAAAGAAAAATATACTGTCTACCTCAAAGGAGTATGAATAAACTTTTTTTTTAGTTTGTGTGGCACTCAAACTATGTGGTAAACCCTTAATACATGCTGTCTACCTATAAAGAAGAGAAGGCTTTTATTGGTTGGCTTATGGATTCTTCCTTATCTATCTCTAACACAGACTTTAATTGTTTGGAATGATCTTAATCTAACTTTATCACCTCTATGCCACATTATTTGTTTGTGAACATACAAATAACAGAAACCAAAGACCTTTGCAGTTGGGGTCAGATATACTTGGTTGCTTAGATCCAAATTTTGTTTCTGTTACTAAATCAAATTCATAGAATGTGTTATTGAATTTTTTTCTACCCGATTTTCCTTAGCCATATATACAGCAATATTTGTTTACATGCACACACACACACACACACACACACACACACACACACACACACACTCACTTAAATGTGGCCACAGTGAAAAAGACCAATTTATAGAGAAGGGTCTAAAACTCAGAGATATCAGATGGCCAGATGATATGCTCAGGGCCACAAAGCAGTCTATACTCAGGAAGGCCTCAATGTGTAGTCTGAAATGTACTCTTCCTATCTCATGTCTTAGTAAGCAAACATAGTATTTCATGGAGTCTAGTCACTGGCACAGAGATCATTTCTCATTTTGCTTATTGAGAAAAGAAGAACTAAATTAGATAAAAATGATGTTAGAGATAAAACATGCTACAAATGTTGTTGAGGATCATTAATTTCTATCTTAAAATAGACACGGATGTTATACAAGTATCCTCTTGCTTGAATTTGATGCCATCTCATGTTAGATGTCAAACTTAGATTTGTTGTTTGTCAGAGGAAATAAAATAAATGAAAGTTTTATTTGCTGCTTCTAACAAACACATCTCACCACCACCACCAGACAACACCTAAGGTTAAAGGATGAAATTTATACATAGTGACTTAGCAAAGAAACAAGAAAATGTAGCTATTGCACTACAGATAAGAAAAATCTCAAACCAATTCTAATCAGAAGTGATACTCATTAAAGGAAAAATCCACAGAGAAGATATTACGTTCCGAATGTTTTTAAATCGAGCATTTTGTTACCCAATTTCTCAAAAGAAATCTTATCAGATCTAAAAATCATAAATTGGCACCAACATCGTGGTAGTGAGTGACTTCAACAATCATGTCCTCAGACAAAAACTAATTAGGAAAACTCAGAAGGTAAATGACATTATATCAAATGTATTTAATATATCTATAGAATATTCTACCAAAACACTGAAGGATACACTCTTCTTTTTTTTTCTTTAGTTTTATTTATTTATTTTATTTTACATCCAGATTATAATTTCCCTCACCCTTCTCTTCCCCTCTTCCCACTCCTCTTTCCATCCAATTCTCCTCTTTGTCTATTAAGAAAATGCCTGGGCTCCCATGGATGTCAACAAAACATGGGATATCAAGTTTCAGCAAGACTAAACATCTCACCTTGGATTAAGGCCAGACAAGGCAACCAAGTATGAGTAATGGGGTCCCAAAAGCCAATAAAAGAGTCAGAGACAGTCCCTGCTCCCACTGCTAGGATTCACAAGAAGACCAAGTTACACAGCTGTCACAAATCTGCAGACATCCTTGGTCAGTCCCATGCAGGCTCTCTGGGAGTCAGTTCAGTCTCTGTGAGCCTCTATGAGTAGAAGTTAGCGGATTCTGTGGGTTTTCTTGTAATGTCCTCGACTCCTCTGGGTTTTAAATCCTCCCTACCTCTCTTTAACAGGATTCTCCTTACTCAGCCCAATGTTTGCCTGTGGGTCTTTGCATCTGTTTCTACCAGTTGCTAGTTGAAGCCTCTCTGATTACTATTGGGTTAGGCACCAATCTATGAGTGTAGCATAATATTGTTGGGCAACATTATATTGACATGTTTTACTCCAGTTATGTTTGATTCTATCCTAGGTCTCTGGGCCATCTAGCCTCTGGGTCTCAGTACTTCAGGCACTGTCAGTGATGGGCTCACTAGCAGGGTATGGGTATTACAGTAGACCAGTCATTCCCCACCCCTCACCCCTGCCAAGAAGATCTGAGTAACCTCCTTGGGTACTCCTTTTTACCTAGCCTCTCTGGGTCTGTGAACTGTATCATGGATATCCTTTAAAGCTAATTTCTGTTTATATGTGAATACATACCACATACCATGTTTATCTTTCTGGTTCTGAATTATATCACCCAGGATGATTTTTATTTGTAATTCCATTCATTTCCCTTTGAATTTCATGATGTCATTGCTTTTAACAGCTGAGTGATACTCCATTGTGTAAATGTACAACATCTTCTTTATCCATTCTTCAGTTGAAGGGTTCCCATGTGTTTGAAGATGATATGAACACAGGTAGTCTCTGTAAACTCTTTTCTTTGAGGCTTTTTAGACTTTGAAATGAAATATGTGTGTAAGGGTGTACTAATTTTCTCCTTCTTATGTTATTATTTAGACTCCAGAGGAGCTTGAAGATGATTCGGACTTTGAGCAAGAAGACTATGATGTGCGTAGTCGGACAAGCGTTCAGACCGAGGATGACCAGCTCATTGCTGGACAGAGTGCACGGGTAAGTGGACATTCACCACTTTGGATAACTGCCCAGGAGAGAAACTCACACAAGGGACTTCAGGAAATTTCTGAATTACTGGTGTTGGGAGCCCAGATGTCTTTGGTTCAGAAGTTTGGGCTATTACTTGGGTGGTCTGTGGCAAGGCACATTGTTTGTAGTGGTAGGAACCACCACTGCTTCCAATTCCTTTTAACCCTTCCAGCAAATGAAGAATTAGAATTCTTTGTTACCGGCTTGATAATTGTGTCAGTCTTGGGTAAATATGATAGCAGAGATGACGTTGACTTGAGGGTATTAAAAATTGTTGTTTCTCCCTTATGCTTACTCGTTCCCATGGCCAAGTCTTTTGCTAAGTGATAGAAAGAAGTTTCACAAACATTCATGAGTTTTGAGTTTAAGGGATGAATCAAACACCAAAGTAGAATAGATTTGTCAAGCACATGAACAGTTGATGGCCTGGTTCATAGCACAAGTAGTACAATGAACATCCCACAGGTGGGCCAAAAATAGGAATTGTGAAAGCCAAGTAGAAAACAACAAGTTAAGAGACTGAAATTAAGAGAACTAAAATAAAAAGAAGTGTGGTATTCAAAATGAAGGTACCTAAAACCTAGTTTCCTTAAGATAATATAGACCTCAATATCTTTGTTCTAAAGTCAAATGAATGAGAACATACACATGCAGTTTGGTAGAAACACAGAGGTAATACTTCAGACACCACTGGCAAAATGGTATATGAAATAGTGGCACACAAACTATATTTTGAGAGGAAGAGAAGAGAATTGTGAGTTAAGAGTAGCCCTAGTCAAATAGTAAAACCCTATGCCAATAGCCAGGGGCTATGGGTGTTGCCCACTGGTAGAAAGCTTGCATAGCATGGACAAGGCCTTTACTGACAGAAAATACACTGGCCCTGATTTCACACTACTTTGATTTTGGCCTATAAAAGCTAATACTAGTAGCACTTTGAGAGCTATGTATTATTTGTCAGATGTGAACCATAGACTTCCTTGACAGCATTCTTTTGAGGATTACTTGATCATTATGTAGTATAGTCTACCACTTGCCTTATAGTAGATGCTCAATAAAGTCTAGCTCTGATCATTATCCTTCTTTGGAAGAGAAGGTCCCTTCTGACCGTAGGATAGTAACATCAAAGTGTATGAAAGGGCATAGAACCTCCACTGAAAATTCCCCACAGATTCTTCAATCTTCCCTAAAACATTCAAAATTGGGAAGGTCATTAAGCAAGAATCTTTTGTCTGTTGGCATACCATCAAACTAATTAATCAAGCCAATTCATCTTTAAAATTAAGTAAGACCAGCATTTTTTTTGTGTGTGTGTGTCAATGACAAAGGACAAGTTTGAGTAATTCATCCAAACACTAATCAATTCCAAGTTAATATTATTGACTGATTGTAACCCTGGTACCACTGATTTGTGTCCTCAAAGACTAAGATACATTATGTAAGCCTTATCTTGCTTTGAAATTGCCAACTTGTGAAGATGGCCCGAAGAGTTCCCATTCAACAAGCTTAGACTCTGGATATATTTCTCTTTCAAACTTTATGTTTTACATTAGACATCAAGTCGGTGATGATAGATAGAAAATAAAATTTACACGGTTGTTTTGGATCATAATTTCTTCATTCTCGTGTCTATTTTCAAGTGAAATATGATCAAGGTCCAAGAGAATAAGAACCAGGTGGTCTTATCTGCCACTTGCTAATTTGTCTTGAAGGTCTGTCCCATGTTTTGGATTAACTTGCAGCCAGCAGCTTTACTTCTTATGTCAGCCTCAACCAGGAAGGTAGAATTGTAACTACTAAGTAGGAAATGACAGGGCATATCAAATGGCTAAGGCAATAGATGATTGAATTTTGAACCGACATCACTTGACTTCCCTCAGAACTGTGATAGAAGTCAGCTTTATGTTTGACAGAGGTGTGGGGTTTTGACACAGGTGTGGGGTCTTCCAAGAATTCTTTACTGATAATGGGAGTTTTTTTTTCTTTTATATGGCATTTTCTGCTGCTTTTGTTCAGGGTTCACAGGGCTGTGCATAGGTATGGTTATAGTATGTGTATGTGTACTGGCACATACACTCACTGTGTATGTCAGAGGGCAAGTTTGAGCTCCACTCCTGGCATCACTTTATCTCCTGGTTTCCCTTCTGTTACTATAAGAAAATACTTGACAAAAATGCAACTTAGAGGGGAAAAGGTTTCTTTTAAGTCTTTCTAAGTGACAGTCCAAACTTTGTGTGACAGTTAAGGCAGGACACTGAAGTTATTAGTCACATCCACAGTTAAGAGCAGAGAGAAAATAAATGTATACATGTCTAGTGACCACCCAGTTTCTATACTCTTCTACAGTCTGGGTCCCAAAACCAGGTGCAGCCCACTTTGAGGCTGGGCCTTGCTTTCTCAATGGATACATGGAAGCATGCACACAGGCCAATTTGATCTAACAACTAGACAGTCCTTCATTGAGAAACCTTTTCCAAAGTAATGATAGGTATGTCAGGCTGGTAATTAAAAGTTACGATCATAGTGATAGACCTAGATTTCTATGCCACAGTGACATTAGAGGAGCTGCATTACTAAACATTTTCCAGATTTTGTCCTACATCACTGTATGTATTGTTCCATTGTGATGAAAATGGCAGTGTCTTTGGTAACTTCCCAACCAGATGATTCAACATTGAAGAACTGGATTATTCAAGCAAGTATCATGGGAGGGTTTGCTTGCATCGATGAACAGAATATCTCAGTTTTCCCATTCAAATAGTAAGACTGGAGGTCAAAGTACTCAGCTGCTTAACTATTTACATTGATTAATCAGCTTTAAAGTCAAGTGAGGAGAAATATCTCCTTCAGTTTTCATCTCTTTCCTAAATTTTCTTGCACTTGCAGCCCTTGTAATGAATTCTGTTCTTTGCCTCAGAAAGATTCTTGCCAGTTCAGGGACTCTTGCATTTTAAAGGTGGACATTGGAACACATACCTGGAGATTTAGTTTGAAGAGTTTTGATCCCTTTGAATGGCTGCTACTTTATATCAATACATGCACTTTGAACTCAATAGGAAGAATTTATTAATTACAAAAAAATAAATTATTGTTCAGAGCAAGGACAGGGAACCTGGGACAATGGTCCTTGTGGATTCTGGGCTCTGATGGTCTCAGTGGAACCCACATAAGCTAGACGCACATCCTGGGGGACTGTGTGTGTGTGGTATGGATTGAGGTTACAGAAACTAGCAAGAGCTTCTGGTGATCATATCACAGGAACAGGAAAGCTGATTGTCTTCTTTCCCCCGGCCATGGAAATAATTTTTCTCATGTTGCCTTAGTCTGAAAGAATGAACAATTATATGTTATATATTTCACATTGAATTTTATTTTAATGTAGCCAGCCTTCTATTACTTTTTCTACCTAGAATGGCTTTAATGTGTTAACATTTCAAAATGCTGAGTTACATTGATAAGACCTAATTAAAACTCATGTGTTGAATTTTAATTTGATTAACTTGCAAATTTTGCAGTTGTGATCTACTGTTTATAGATAACCTTTTTTTAAATTCCAGTTTCAGAAAAGGTCAATAATGAATTTTTAAAAGCCAAGAGCATTTTAAGAATATTCAAGAAAAGCCTTGAGCTCATCGACATCTACACAGCAGCAGAGGCAAATGTAATGACACTTGCACTCCAGTCACACCCCATTAAATGCATTATGCGGATCCAGCACCCCTCCAGTCAAAATAACCTCCCTCCCTTGCAAATCTGCTTTGAAGGGGGCCAGTCTTTTCTCTGGAATGTATCCTCAGAAAATGCCTGTCATTTCTGGTGACTTCTCTTGAATGATATTGATGCTTTGAGCAGGAAGATGTTCAAGCGATCTGTCAGAGGACACTGAGCTTCTGTTCTGAGCTGGAAGTCAAGGGCTATACTTTTGGCAAGCAGTTCTGGGAATCAGAGATGGGGCAGCAATGTAAATTAAGGAGCAAGGGGCTGGAGAGATAGAGAGGTGGACACTCCATTAAGAATATTTGCTACTCTTCCAGAGGACTTGAGTTCAGTTGCCCACACCCATGTTGGATGCCCACAAGCTTCTGGAACTCAGAAGGACCCAGTACCATCCCTGACCTCTGGAGGAACTTCTGTAAAATGAAAATAGTATAAAGCTGCACCCGGACACATACATACAAAAAATTAACAGCAAAATAAAATAAATTGATTATGAAAATTAGAGCTTATCAGGTATGGTGCACATACTTTCAGTTCCTGCACTGGAGAGGCAGAGGCAATAATCTTTGTGAGTTCAAGTAAAACCTAGTCAGTACGGTGGGTTCCAGCCTAGTCAGGCCTAGATAGTAAGACCTGTCTTAAAAAGAAAACAAAAACAAACAAACAAACAACAACAAAACAAAATTAGAAAGAAAACCAAGGCCATTGATATTTAAATGCTAATTTAAACAAAGGAGATTCAAATTTATAGTTGACAGAAAGGTGTCCACCCTCCAGTGCATACAGTTTGCTGTTTTGTGGATGAAATTTAGTATATTGTTTCCCACTTGGGTCCTGAATGTACAGTCTGCAGTCTGCTAGTGGTCCTGCTGGTTTTTTTTTTTTTTTTTTTTTTTTTTTTTTTTTTTTAATAGAGAGGCAGCCAGTGAGCAAATTCAATAATTGTCCCTAGGACTTGTGCTGCCTAAATAAAACACAAGTATCTCTTTTGTGTGAAGAAGCTGGGTGAATCAAGGAGATAGAGTACTTCAGGAAAAAAAGTATGTATTTGATTTCTGTCTGCTGACGCCAAATGAGAAGTTCAAGATCTTCTTTTTAGCGTGGAACTACAAATAAAAGTTTATCAAGGCTCTTTGTGTACCAGTATACTATGAATCTTAAATTGGTAGAAGTACTTTAAAATGTTTCCAAACGTGAAATTTCCAAACATAACTAGCATACTTCTATCAGTCTTGATTCTACTTTATGCAAACACAGAAACCCATCCTGTATGTATTTCAGCATACATTAAAGTTTGTTTGAATGTATAGACACTCTCTAAGATGCCATGTAGGTACGCAAGGACATTTACTGGGTGTGAGTCTGTGAGAAGGTACACCATCCCGGTTCCCACGAGTCCAAACTAACATTTCTTTAGCCTATGGGACTTTAGCATGAGGGTACATGGCTTGGTAGGCAGAACCAGGCTTTCAAAAACTGCCTTTGCACCAGTGGGCTGAAGACTTCATACAAATTATATATGGCTGTATGGCGATGTTCTGGTATACAGTTGTGAAGATTGTTGTTGGCCTATTGTGTTGGTTGAGCTTTCATTCTGCACGTTGTACATTGTCTCATATTAGGGATTTAATTAATCTACCTGGGACTTGGTAGTATCGTTATTAAATATGGATGCTTGTGTTAGGATAGTTATATAGATTAAATTACTTGGTGCACATAAATCTCAGAAACATGTAGGTTTGTAAGAAACTGTATGTGTATTATATTTATCTGTAGTCATGCAGGCCCTGAGACTACAAGTTCTTTGTTTTTACTATGATAAGGGTATACTTACCCTTATTAGAAAGCAATCTAATGACAGAAATAAAGCCAGAGCAGTGTACACATAGCACAACGTTGGCTTCTAATTTGCTTCATGACGTTGTGATAAAACACTGGCTAAAGGCACCTTAGGGGAGGTAAAGGTTTGTTTGGCTTACAACTTCTCATCCCAGCCCATCCCATCACTGAGGGAGTCAGGGCAGGGACTTGGAGGCAGTCCTGTTTGCTATTCTTCACTTGCTATGAATGACCAATAAACTCACTCCACAACTAAGTACAGCGAAAGCCATGGAAGAGGCTGCTTGCTAGTTGGCCCTTTAACAGGCTTATGCTCAGATAGTTCTCTTATCCATTGTGAACCACTTAGCTAGGGATGGTGTCACCCACACTTGTTTGGAACTTTCTACATCAGTTATCCAGATAAACTCACCCTTCCCCCCCCCCCACACACACAGCATGCTTACAGGCCAATATCATTCAGGCAGTTCTTCAGCTGAGAATCTACTTAGCCAGAGGACTTTAGGCTGTATCAACTGGGCAGATGGCGCTAACAGGAACAACTTCCTTTCACTTCTTTCTGTGAACTAAACAGGCATTTCAAATAGCTTCAATTGCTCATGATACAAACACTAGATCCCCCAGTCACACAGCTGTGGTCTCTCTTTGGAGAATTCATGTGTCCCAAAACTAAGAAGCTGAAGAGCTATCCAAAGGCCAGGTCTGTGGATCATTTTGTAGGTGGTCATGGGAGAATGTCACACATTTCACTTGGAACATGCTACAAAAATGGTGCTTAAACAACAAGTTTGATTCTTATAGTAGTTATGTTCTATAAGTCACTCATAAGTATTTAAATAAGCAATTACCTAATTCTTGTTTGAAGGAGAAATACAGGGATATGTAAATTACACTGTGTTTTCTTCACCCCATCAACACATTACCATATTTCAAGAGTGTTTCTGTACAAGTACGTTATATTGTTGATCAGTGACATTGAACACAAGGCAAACAACACTAATGCATGACTCCACAAAGCCTATCTAGCTCATGTGTTTTTTCCAAGAGACAAATAATAGCCTTCTTGTGCTTAGGGACACTTGACACCATTCCTAGGAACTATTTTTGCATGGGGGTATCACCACTACAAACAGCACAACAATATGAAAAATGTAGCACTAAGTGGAAGGAAAAATGGACACTTGTTTCCAGTTGGAGAGCTGATTGAAGACAGAGGATGACTTCCTTCCACATCATCTGGGAATGCACACATTGGTGACTCAGAGTTTTGTGCCTCTTGCATCCATTTGCAAGTGACTGGATTGCAAGTATTGATTTGGGGTTTACAAATATATTTAAAAGAATCAGCAAATTTGCAAATGAAGAGTCTGTGAAACAGCAAGAAGACTTCTTCACTTTCTTCCACATTCCCTTACCCAGCAACTTCTGCAAATCAACCTTTGCTTTCCAGTCTCGTTCAGCTCCAGCAGCCCCAATCTCTGAAAATCTGAGCACCTAAATGCTCTGACACTTGAAACACACAGGATATTGATGTTAAGCTTCACATTTTTTTTCTTAGTATCTGGGAGTTTTGGGTTAGGGACATGCTCCCAAGTCTAAATGATGTTTGTATAAGCATCTCGGATATGGGATAGCAGTCTGAACTTCCATTTCAATGCCTACAATGCATTCAAATGCTCTCCAAAGAGCTATGGTCATCCAGGAAGATGGGGGAAGAAGGTTGGCATGGAGGACTCTATCCCCTAAATTTCCTAATAAGGGAATAATTTTCTTGTTTGTATGTCAGTTTTCGATTGTTTTCATTTTTTACTCAAAAAAAAAAAAAAAAAAAAAAAAAAAGGTCTTTCCATCCCACACTACTTGGATGCGCAAATATTGTTTAAAATTCCTTTCCTTCCCAGCAACAGAAGGTTTTTTTTTTTTCCTTTTTCCCTTCTCTGAATAGCTTTCAGTGTTGAAAGAGGTGTATTCTTTCATCTGGTGAAAGTTTCCTGAGACCAAATATAAAAATTGTCAAGAATAGCCGCTTTTGAACACACATATGCCATCAAAGAGACAGGGAAGCTCTGCTACTGTCAGTGTGCTGGCCCTCTTGGGTATCTCCGTATCATTTATATAATGGAGGGGGGCAGGGAACTGGAGGACCTGGCCACCCTTTCCTCTTGGCCTGGCTGCAATGGAGAAGACCTGTGTCTTTTCTGGAAGGATGGGGCGTCCTGTAAGCCTTGTCAGTCTTGCTCTGCCATCCACGGGAAGCAGGGTTAGCAAGCAGTTCTTTACCCCTTCATCACCAGCAGTTATGCTTCTCAGTTATGCTTCTCTCCTTGTGTCCCACACAGGCCATCATGGCACAACTACCACAGGAGGAGAAAGCAAAAATAGCAGAGCAGGTGGAGATTTTCCACCAAGAAAAGAGCAAGCTGGACGCCGAGGTGGCCAAGTGGGATGACAGCGGCAATGACATCATTGTGCTGGCCAAGCAGATGTGTATGATCATGATGGAGATGACAGACTTCACAAGGTGAGACCCACAGATAGGGGGATGTCCATGTGTGGCGCTGTGATTCACAGGGAAGCCCGCTGAAACGTTAACGTGCTATTCCAAATGGAGCGCTTAGACTAGTCGAAGTGTTCTCCTGTTCATGCTAGAGGAGGGCAGATTCATGCTTTTGAAACTATTTTTGTTTAATTGCCTATCGTAACAACAAAGCCCAACGGTTGGGTAACTCATCTGTGTTCTGTTCTGGGTTTAGATATGGTTAAGTACTATTCTGAAGATAAAGTGAATGCTTTGTTAATTTCCTGTTGGAAAGATACGTGCATATTTTTATGTACATGTATTAGTTTTGTGTGTATGTTCTAACAGCACATGATTTAACACTAATTTTGGCTCATATTTCATGCTAGTGTAGTAGAAGTTTTGTCCAACAGCTGAAGAGGACAAAATTCTTACAGGGAAATTGAATATTGTGTGAACATTGTTCCTCTGCCCTTTGAGCAGCAGCTCCCACAGGTCAGGAAGCCACCAGCATTCTGACAGGAGCCTTTGTTTCACCAAAAGCCCTGGGTGCTTCTGTCATAGCTTTGGTGTCTTCTTAGGAGGGCAGTGACAAGTCTCTCTGCCCTTCTGGGCGACATAAAGAGCAATCAGATGCAGAAAGAAACATAGGGGAAAGGCCTCTCAATTCTGAAGGAGATGATGAAGTGGAATGCAACAAGGATGGAATACCATTCACAAACTTCTCAGGAGAGGATGCACTCCCAAAGCAAGATGCCAAACACGTTGAAAGCATCCCACAAGCCTGTTCACATCTATCTAACTGCCGTGTGTGTGTGTGTTTGTTCGTGGTGTGCGCATTTGAATTAAGGTTCCTGCATCATGGCATGTGTGTGGAAGTCAGAGTCCATCTTCAGGTACCAAACCTCACATTCCACTCCCGCTCTCCTCTTTTTTTACTGTTGTGTGCTCCCTCCTGGATAGCCAATGAGATTGGAGCTGCTCACCTGTTTCTGCCTCTCTCTCGCCATAGGCATGTTAGGTTGGGATTACAGATGTACCCCTTCTGCATTTGGTATTACACGGGCGGCTTCTTGGCTATCTGAACCCCTATATTCAACATTGTGTAACAAGTGTTTTATCTACTGAGCCATCTGCATACATCCAGATTTAATTTCTGATTTTTAATTTTCCTGTCAAAATTATGTAACCGAAGGCTATTGTACTTGATGCCACATTAGGGTAGAATGTGAGCCAAAATGAATGCTACATTATAAGATAGTATTGTGCTACATCATATACAGATACACATGCAAAACTAATAGTTTATTTTTTAACATATGTAAAAATACCTTAGTGGTTGAACATGGCATGATAAAATCATGCAAGGCATATAGCAATGTCAGAATATCATGTAATGGGTGAGAACATTTTTAATAATTGTTGGTCGTTCCTAATAAGGAGAGGCAAGTATTGATTATAGGTTTTAATAAAACACAGAACATGGATATGTCATCCCCTTTACCCTTTATCTCTGGCAAATATGTACTAACGACATTACTTGGCTCCTTTTCCAAATCTTTCAAAATTGTTTTTGATTCTAGCAAAAATGATTTCAGTGTTAGGAGTGTGACCTTCGAGAGCTTTAAATGTCATCATATTCATTCAAAGTTCAAGTTTGTACATTTAGTTAGTCTCCTTCCGCTTTGCAAATGTATTTCTCACACACAAAATAATATCGGGGGAAAAGTCCGAGCCATTATTTAAGTCTGGATTGCCTACAAATCAGACAGTGGTGGCAGCCTCAGTCATTGCTTCCTGAGGCCCACGATGACTTCATTTGCTTGCTTTCAACATTTTATTAGTATTTTATCTGATGGATATTATGCAACCCATTAATAACATCAGTGGAACAAATAATCTCATTAGTTTGAAGTGAATAATGAATCCAGTCACGTTGCTAGTTTAGATCAGGAGAACATTTTGTAATTTGCATTATATATAACTGTGGTCAAGGAAGATAAATACATTTGAGGGGTCTTGTTCAATGATGTCGAATAACACAGACTCTTTATTAGTCAAAGCATCATTTTAAAAGTGAAAAGAAAGCTGGTTCAATTTCCTACAGAATTCACATAATAATCTTTTTTTGTGTGCTGATCTGAATAATGAAGTGTCCAGCCTGCTACTGGTTATCATTTTTCCTAATGCCCGATGAGCTCTCTCTCTCTCTGTCCCTCTCCTACACACACACACGCACACACACACACGCACACACATGCACACACACACACACACACACACACACACGCACACATGAAGGTTTGACATGACAGTGCGGCCCAGGAGGCTGAGCCTTGCTCTCATTGTCGTCCGTGTGTTCTCATCCTGAGCCAAGCAGCACCTGACTGGTCTTTCTTTGTGGCCTCTCACCTAAGTTTACAACATTGAGCCTTGTTCATCATCATTACTGAAACTGCATTTTTCCACTTTACAAAGGAGTAATTGTAGCTCTATACAGCTAAACATTCCTAAGTACCATTTTCGGTTATTTAAAGAAGCTTGTATATAGTTGACTAAGAAGCGTCTAAAGGGTATGCAAGTCCCTCAGTCACCATTTATTTATTACGTTGTTGTGTTATTCATGTCACTGGCTACCTCACGAATTTGATTTCCTCATCTCTCTGAGTCCACTCTGTTATTGAAATAGAAGAGGTGCTGCCTTGTTATCCGTGCACTATCCTCTTCATGGAGGAGAGAGGACCCAGGGTCTCTTACACCCCTTTCTTTTCGTTGGCTCTGTACTTTAATCTTATTGGCAAAAGCTGACACACAATCCCTCAGACAGCAAATTCATGTTCCTCCTGTCATATTGAGAAACGCTATGTACCACTCTTGTGTCACCCAACCAAGATGCATGCAGACAGCCTCAATTCAGCCTTACCTGAAAAATCAGGGTCACCTAACATCAGCATAAAAGGAGGAAACTGGGGGTGTGGTGGAAACCATCAGGACATAAACAATTGTAAAATGCTGAGCAATGAACTGAAAGTTCGTACACTACTTCCAAACTTTGTTCTGCTTTATTTCAGGAGCTCATTCCCATCACCTAGCTGTCATTTCAGGGTCAATCCTTCCTCTCCTCTTTTCCTACTGAAACTGACCCATACAACTATACAATTTGCTTGCATCAAAACTTTTCCTCTTTTCACTGGACCAAACCTTTTTGAATTTGTTCTTCAATGTCTGCCTTTTTTTGCCTTTGGCCATCTGTTTCTGGTTTGTACTTCAATAGCATCACCTAAACAGTACACCTACCATAGTTGAGCTCATGATTCTTGGGTCCTTCCTAACTTCTCAGGATTTTCCAGATCCAGTAAATTATTTCTGTATGCAAACTCGTGCTTCACCTGCTGTGGCAAGCATGTGCGTGTGTGCATGCGTGCGTGCGTTCGTGGGTGCGTGCGTGCGTGCGTGTGTGTGTGTGTGTGTGTGTGTGTGGGCACGTGCCTGCTATGTTGGTGGACATGAAAAGATATGCTTAGGTACCAGTTCTCTCCTTCTACTTTGTGTTCCAGGGATAGAATTCAGGTCATGCGTCGTGGATTCAGACATCTTTATCCACTAAGCCATGTAACTGAATCTACAAAATCCCAAGAAGTCAGTAAGGACCCAAGGATCATGTCCTGGGAAGATTTCCTAGAGCATTTTTTCCTTTGGAAACTGGTCCCAGAGTGTCTTATATGATTCTACACATTTGCAAATACTCTCATTGCTTTTCCTTACTAGAGAGTTACACTTAATATTAGCAAGCTAGATGTGTTGAGACAGCTGTAGCAAATAAACCCTTTAAACTTGGATTAATTCTGAGTTAGAATTCTGAGTACTGAACACTTTGCTCACAACGTACTGACACACTGCTACTGCCCATTAAGACTCACAGGCCTTTTGTAAAAATAAATGCAAATGAGTTGCCAGATGGGAGCTCACCACACTGAAGTAATAGTTTGCCCAGCTTGATTCTCTTTTTTGGAGTGACCACTTCTTTGGAAAGACTCTAAAGCCTGGCCTTTATGTACAAATCACTGTACTTAAATGAAAGATGTTGCAAGATTTTGTCTACCAGAGAAGCAATAGACTCTATTTCTAAGAACAGTGACAACATGTTCTGTAAGACAACAGGATGACACCTACATTTAGAGATACAAGCCTTCCTAAAACACCTTTCAAACTCCCCCACTGTAGGCTTGGCTCTACGGTACAGAAACACCAGCGTGTACGCTCTCATTTCGAGATAGGACGCTATGAACATTAGGGTAAACTTGGAAGTCTTGTTAATTTCCTAGACCAGTTTGCTTCCTTCCTTCCTTCCTTCCTTCCTTCCTTCCTTCCTTCCTTCCTTCCTTTCTTTCTTTCTCTTCCTCCTGGTTTTCAGTTTTGCTTTTCTGTTTATTTATTTCTTGATTCAATGCTATGCAGATGGCTATAACTCATGTAGCCTTGTATTGTTTCATACAGTAGCCATTAGCTAAATGTGGTCGTTTAAATTGATTTTGATTGTTATATGCATCATAAAGTTTACTATGATAATAATTGTTTAATTAGACAATTTTGCCACGTTAAGTACACTGGTGTGTATCCCTCACTGTCATTAGTCTATACATTTTCATCTTAGTTGCCCGCTAACTCCCCATCACCTGCTCCCCACAACCCTAGAAACCACCTGAAAAATCAGCTTTCTGTCTCTGTAGCATTGACCACTCTAGGAATCACACAAGAGGCATAGTTCCTATCTTCCTATCTGTCTTTTTCTTCTTTTTTTATTCAAATTTGAAACAAGGTTGTTTTACATGTCAATCCCAGTTCCCTCACCTGCCTAATGCCCCCTATCACCCCCCACCAAACCCCAGCTCATCCCCTTTCTGCTCCCCAGGGAGGGTGATGCCTTCTAGGGAGAGTTTTCAAAGTCTGTCATATCATTTGGGGCAGGACCTAGGCCCTCCCCCAATGTGTCTATGCTGAGGAAATCCATTCTTTTACTAGAGATAAATACTGATTCATTAATAGAGGCCCCATAGACTGCCCAGTCAGCCTCTCTATCTTTTTGCAATTAGCTTCTTTTGTAGAAAACAAGGGTGTCAGAGTTTATCCATGTTGTCACAGCACAAAAATATCTTTCCCTTTTAAGGCTGAATAATATCCCGCTAAAATGGCTGTACCCCATTTGTTTTCTCTAGTCATCTGTTGATGGCCACTTAGTCCTTCTTCCTTTGGGTCTTGTGAAAATGTGCTTCTGCAGACACAGAGAAGATATATCCCTTGCTTACAGAAGAACTGGGAGATCCTACGGTATTTTAAAACTTTTGAGGAATCATCAAAGTACTTTCTGAGGTTCCTGCATCATTTTATACTCATACCTGTGATCAGTAAGGGCTCTAACTCCCTTATATCAAGCATAGGTATTTTATATTGTTTCTCCTAATGGGCATAAAGAACAATAACTTTGTGGTTTTGATTTTCATTTTTCTGGCGAACAGTGATATTGTATGTTGTCTTTTTTTCTGTGCATATTTGCCATTATATTTTTTGAAGAAATATCTTACCTCCTTTTTATTGAATATTTCTGTTGCTATCATTCTTTTATACATTCCGAAAACCTACTCCCTATTTAATAAGATTCACAGATATTTTACTTATTTTGAGAGTTTCAGTTTCAATATCCATCGAAAATATACTTTGATGTTAAACTTTTAAACTTAAGCCCAAGTTTATTTTTATTCAATTCAAAGTGCTTTTTAAAAATCATTATTTTTTAAATTATTTTATTATTATTTAACTATTATTTATTTAATTAATCCAAGAAATGCCTGCCAGACCAAATGTCATGAGTGCTTACACACATTGTTTCCCTTGTGGTTTTAAACTTAACTTTATGTTTAATGCTGATCAGTTTTGGGTGGAATGTCTTGTTGATGGATGATGGATGTAATATTTCTATAGAACCATTTATTGAATTGAAAATAGTCTGCTTCATTAAATTGTCTTGCAAACCTGTGGGAAACCACTTGTGCATGTGTGTGAGGTCCTGTTTCTGAACTCAATCCTGTTCCATTCGTCTGTATTTCTGCCTTTAAGTCAGGACTATGCTTTTTTGTCTACTATACATTTGTGGTAAGTTCTTTAAATCAGAGAGGATTTAAGCTTTTTTTTTTTTTTTTTTTTTTTTATCCTGCCAGATTGTTTTTGACTGCTTGAGATTTCTTGTGAATTTCAGACATTTCATTTTGTTTAGGCAAAATAGACTATTGGGATTTTGATATGGATTGCTGTGCACATGTAGATCTTTAAGTCATTAGGTTCATGTTGTGGGATGGCTTTCCTCATGCCACCTGTGTGCCTTTCAGCCCTGTTTTATATACTGCTGAACATATAAATCTGATGACTCCTTGATTACGTTTACTCCTTTATTATTTTGGTGCCTATTCAGTGGAATTTTTAAATAATTTATTTTATGTCAGAGGATTGAACCCAGAGGCTTATACTGGGCAGACACTAATGCCTGAGCTATGTCAATTCTGATTTGCGTTATCAGTTCTATTTCATGATTGCTTATTCTTAGTGCCAATAAATGTGACTATGTTTTCTTGTGACTCAGTTTTCTTAGGTCTCCAGCCTGCTTCTCTCTGAGAACGGGTATCGTTTGGGAGTGTCCTTAGTCTTCCAACTATGTGTCAATGCTCCATGCAAAAATGAGTGTGTTTCCATAAACTATTCATTTGTCCTTTTTAAATGACCCTTCCTGATCCTCTACCACAGATTCTAACCACTAGAGTTCAAACTGAAGCTCTAGTGTAGACACTGGAGTCCTGAACATTCGTTTACCATTGTGGTGCTCACACATGAACTATAGTCACTTGTGGAACAAATGATCCTATGGTCTTTTCACTTTGGCCACAGAGATGAGGACATGAGCCTCAAGCAAGTGCAATGTCTTCAAATATATTCTTTACTAACTAGGAACATTTTTACCACTTTTTAAAAAGTATTTAATGTCTGGGGAGACATTTCTGTGAGATTCTTTGGAACTATATACATACTAAGTATGTAAGAGGGTGTAAGATTCCTTGGAACCAGAGTTAAGTCATGCTCCACTTCAAAATACTTGAAGTAAACAAATATACATTTATTTCCTTGGCAATGGAAAATAAAGCAAGCCCTAACCTGTTAGTAACTCTGTTTACATAAAGGCAAAGACTAACAGGGATCATGTCAGAGTAAAACCTTACAAGAGATCTCCTACAGTCTGAAGGAGATATGTGACATGTTAACATTTTTAAGTCATGGCAGTTTCTTTATCTAAACTTTCCTTTAAATAATGGAGGAAAATCCAACAAAAGGACAGAAGCTATTTAGAGATGGTAAAAACAATGTCAGGAACAAGTGCCAGGCTGTCACACAATCTTTACTTCATCCACATTATACAAATTTCACATGTGGAGTCGCATTCAGTTTGCCCTTGGAAAGTCTTAGTGTCTAGTGAAACGTCAGTGAATGTATTCTCTGGAAGACGCAACATGAATACACTTAACTGAAACTCCCGAGTTCAGAATTTACTGTGTGTGTGCCTCAAAAGTAATATGAACTTCTCTTTTATTTCCAGATATTAATACAGAAAAACAAATTCCAAACCAGGAACTGGGTTAAAGCAAAACAACACACACTTCATTAACATGTACCTGAAGACAACCATTTTAAGTCATGCAATTTGTAATACTACATAACAATTGTGGTTATTGCCCTGATCTTAGAACCATATATTGTCTAAATAAATCACTTCTGAGTGGCTTTCCTCTGGGTCTCATCACATTTATAACACAGGAAAGCAATTTTGGTGCCTTATAAATGCACTGGATTTTAGATATGTGTAAGGAAGGATAATAGAAAATCTAATCTGCTAAAAACTAAGGAAGTTTAATCTGCTCAAAACGAAGGGTAAGCATGTTCAATCTATTCTTTACTTACCTCCCGAGAAAGTGGAAATTCATACACTATGTTTATTTAAAGGTCCATGGTGCAGCAACATTTCCCCTCCTTTTAAATTAGCATTTAAAATTAAACAGGCAAGTTGATTGAGTGATATAATGTTTAATTGCCTACCTAATTGAAAACCATATGTGAAAATGTTGGGGCGTTGTAAGCATAAGGGCATTTACAATTCTTGTGTTCAGTGTAATTGTTCACGTATCAGTACCAGAAACACATAACACATGATATTATGAACCTTGCAGTTTCTGAAATTATAGCCAAACATTCCGACATTATGTTTCAGAGAGAAGTACTTCTCAAGGCGCCATCTGGACTTGAGTTAAATAATATGAAGGTGCTGGGCACAGTATGGATGGCTATGCATCTGCACACTTAGCTGATTTTGACTCTGTTTCTATTTAGAATTCATTGCTTTCAACCTGTGTGGATGAGTGTGACAGTTGCTGTGAACTGATAACGTGACAAACTTTGTAATCACATAGGAAACAGGCCCCTGGGGATATCTATTCTATAAAGGGTTGTTTCGATTAAGGTTTGCTTCTGGAGCTGTCTGTGAGGGGTCGCCTGGACTCTGTTAATTGATGTGGGAAGAGCCACCTTAATTGCATGAGGGGCCATTCCCTGGGCACAGGACTCTAGCAAATGCAGAAAGTGTGCTGAGCCCCAGCATGCAACAATCATCTCCAGCTTCCTGGCTGTGACTGCAATGTGACCAAATGCTTTGTATACACACAGTGACAGCACCTGGCACACGAAAACAATTGGGTACTGAGTAAGTCCTTTTTTCTTGTGATGGTCATCTTAACTGAGTAATGTTGAAAAATGGTAGAAGGATAAATGTGACTAGGAAACTAGGAGGAGCCCCCCCCCCCACACACACACACTCACCAATGCACACAAGGAAACATGGTAGGTTATCAATGTGGTGACTGGTGAGTTTCGGCAACACTGACACTTCCTCTTAATTAACCCTTTTCATTGATTTTACATACTGACCACAGTTTCCCCTCCCTCTTCTCCTCTCCTTCCGGTCATCCCCAACCACCTGCTCCCCATCAAGCCCACACACACATTGAAATTTTTAAATAACAAGGCCAGACAACATTAAACACAGAACTAGCATCTTGGACCAAGGATGTGGTAGGTTTGTGTGTAGCCAACTGAATTCTAATTATGTTGCATGATTTTTTTCCAGAGGCAAAGGCCCATTGAAAAACACATCTGATGTCATTAATGCTGCCAAGAAGATTGCAGAAGCAGGCTCTCGAATGGACAAATTGGCCCGTGCTGTGGCTGATCAGGTAATGCAAAAGGAAGAGGAGGAATTACTTAGTACCAGCATTCTGGGACCATTTTAAAGCACCCCATGAAATGCCTTGGCAAAATGCATGTGGAGATAGTTTCTAATATTTTACAAACTGGCCTCTGCTTGCAGCTGAACTCATGTCAAAGGTACCTTTAATTCAGTAGATGCACCAAAGGCTTAAGGAATGACAGATTAAACCAGCTTTTTCCATTACAAAACCAATTTTTAACACAATGAGGGGGCAAAACAACATAAGTCAGATGTCCCAGGACCATCTGCCCAGAGATGGTATTGCCCAGTGGGCCCTCCCACATCGACCTGTCATCAAGAAAATGTCAGGCTGGCTTGACTACAGGCCACTCTGATAGGGTATTTCCTCAATGGAAGTTCTCTCTTCTCAAATGACTTCAGCTTTTGTCAAGTTGACAAAAAGCTAGCCATGTGGTAGTACTTCGTTTTTGGTCGTGAGCCTAGCCTTTAATGGCTGAGCCATCTCTCCAGCCCATGACTCCTATTCTTAACACTGATCTTACTCTAACAGTCTGTAATTCATAATAAATTATGTTTTGCTATAAAACAGACAAATTCTTGTAACCAAGAGTAATACAAATTTCAACCATATTTTTACCTAGAAAAAGTAAATAGCAGAAAGTGAAATCCTCAGCCTCACCTGTGCATTCACAGGATGTCCAGTTGAAGCCTTCTCAGCCTTACATAGACCATTTGATTATATTTCACCAATTTCCATTCAGGCTCGATAGAACTAGAACTTCTCTCCATGCCTTGCTGCTGGAACATTTCTTGTGAGAGTCCGTTAGGCAGTAGACATTTCCAAATAACTGATTATCTCCTCAAGCTTCAATTAAAAAGAGTCTATAGTATGAGCTGCTTCAAAGTCAATATACTTTAAAATACAAAATAAGCTTCTGCAATAAAAAAGACATGTACCTCTTCTTACATGGAAACTCCATAATGAGCAATGATTGTGCTTCAGAAGGTGGCACCTTTTGAAGATCTTGAAAGGCAGAGGGCTGAGTTCATCTCTGTGGATATTCTTATACTCTTGATTTTTGAGTTGCAGTACCCAGCTAGCAGTAGATGTGTTCCCTCAGTTATTCTTCTATTTACTTTCTGTCCCACATCCCAGCCTTCACGTCAACATACCAAATAATTACACTGACCCTGTAAAGGAGAACCATTCCTCCCAGAAAATCCAACAATTAATATAGAATATGCAATAAGCATTATAATTTTAATTGTATTTATACACGATGGGTAATGTAATGGGATGTTTCTGAAAAACTAACTGATTTGGAACTTATAAGTTCAGATTATTTTCTCTGTTACCATAACAAACATCACTATCGTTTGTAGCAGCTCACAACCAAATTGTTGTTGTGGGTCATGTTAGGGTTACATCAGATTTCGGGGTTCAGAGTACTAAGTTGAATTTCTTTTTAGAAAGTTTCATGAATACTATAGAGTCCTTGCACAAGAGAAAAAGAAGACACAGATCCATCTGGATACATGCAACAAAGGAAGTCACCAACCTGAGGGAAAGCCATGGGCTAAGTCTGATAATGCTGGTGGGCACTGGGATGTGTGTAGCCACAAGACATGCTTGAGTGACTCTATATAAGACTTTTAATAAAGGGTATTTTTTTTTTCCTGGAAGTAAAAATTTAGCGGAATTTGAATGTTTTTCCCCCTTACTTACTCGGTTTCCATGTTAGTATTTCTCACGGCATTTCATTGGGTAAGTTCCATAGTCCCAGTTTTGATTCCTGTTTTTATCTTTACAGTTTAGAATATTAATTGTTGACAGTGTAATATGAGGCATTTCCTCAATACAGTTTTGATAGATAGTAAACTTAACATGAACACACACATATATTCTTACATACACAAGCATACACACATGAGAAGGAGAGACAAAGATACAAACAGAAAGAGAAAGGATTCTAAACTTATTTCTAGATTAGGAGGTAGAACATTTGAGTACTATTAATAATGTAGTAAACAGATGGAGAGTAATCCCATATCCTTTTGCTATGTTTACAGTCATTATCTGTGAAGTATCTCAAAATTTTGTTAATGTTTTATTGAAGCAGGGTATCCTTTTTCAAATCCTGGGTCACTTTTTCAAGTACAGAGATAATTTTGAATTTCTATTGGTCTGTCATTACCTTTAGAAAGGTCATAAAACATAAACCAGTTATGTTTTCACTGGTTAAGTTTGAATAATGAACACAATATTACTGAAGACTGTATTGGTTGCTTTCACTTTGCCTGAAAAAAATTTTATGAAGATTTGAGATATGCATGCAATATAAATGCTTTACGGACCACTGCATTTTTAATTACTGTTCCATTGAGATAGAACTCCTGGTTTAATTTGCTGTAAGGTATTTGTATTGAAAGCTTTGTCAACCCTCTGGGGAGATATCATTTCAAAGTTCCTTCCAGTATATGGATCTCAGGAGTAGGATAAATAGTACAGTATTAAGTACTTGTAGAAAACTGAAAAGCAGTCTCAGTGGGATTCTTACTTGATAAACACATTTAGGGAAAAATATCACAATAGTAGGTGTTACATATAAAAGAAATGTTTTCATTAATTTTAACTGAATACATGGTTACATTACAGAAACTGCTCCATGGTGTTGAAAGAATTCCTCTCCTGTAGCTTATAGTAAACTCAGGTCTGTCCTTCTCCCATGTTTTATGATGGTGGTGGAGGCTGAAACTTGCTCATAGTAGTTGAATGCACTACCACTGGACTTGCACAATAGTGTCATACTTTCATGTTAAGTAAGATGCTTCAAGTTTATCTCTTGGTTATGACATCATGCATACATACACACTCACACATATGCAGTATTCTACATGTAATTTTAATTGCTTTTTAAACATGTTACATAACATTTACAAAATTCATGTGTGTATACACACATACACACACACATATTCATATATAAACATATTTACAAATACTAAACTGAACAAAACAATGATGACCTAGAAGCATCTTAAACATAACATTTGATAGCAACAGAAATATATTCCATTTACTCAGTAGTCATTGGCTTTGAAGGCTCAGGAACATGTCACAAAGACGTAGGAAATATCTACAGAAGTGGGCGTTGAACTCTGTGCACGTGATGGCTATCTATCTACTCAAATTACAGTGCAAGTTAATCTTCCAAGAGAACTGACTGGTTGAAGGACTCTGTTGCTATAGTTAAGGGGTATTTCACCTAGTTTCACATATGGCCTTTCAGATCGTCCTGAGAAGTTTACTAGGTTGTTACATTTTTTTGATAAGTAGGGAAAACCCATTAAATTCATAGACTTAGTTAATTGGGGCATTCCTAGAAAATGAAAAGAAACCAATGGTCTATCTAACTAATTGAACTGAACCTACCCTGCCCCACTTCTGCTTTAGTACAAATTGTCACAGAAGTGTTGGACTTTTGGCATCCATTGCTTTATATCTGTGCTTCCTCATGTTGAGAAAGTAGGGAAAAAAACTAGAAACAAAGAAAGCTGTAGAACAGTAATTTTCTTGAGCTCACAAGATAGGTAACAGAATAGTCTCAAGTAATGCCGACATCCCAAGAAAATGTCATACATCATCTTCACTAGTTCCCCCTCCCTTTTTAGACTTGAGTCTGTTGCATTTTGGTTGACATATTCCCAATATTCCACATTATTTCATGTGTCTCTACGCCCTCTTCATTTAAGTTAGTTTTCATCATTTATTGATTTTTTTTTCCTGGCTTTTTCGAGACAGGGTTTCTCTGTGTAGTTTTGGAGGCTGTCCTGGAACTTACTCTGTAGACCAGGCTATCCTTGAACTCACAGAGATCCACCTGCCTCTGCCTCCCCAGTGCTGGGATTAAAGGTGTATGCCACCAATGCCTGCCCTCATTATTTATTGTTATTGCATATGTGTGTTCATATGTATAAAACCCACTAGCTCCAATTGGTGTTGCCTGTATGTACATGGGTATAGGCTGACAATTGCATCATGGGTGACTACCAGGGGGCTTATCACTCAAGAAATTTGTGTCTCTTTCCCTCTGCAACCCTGGACTTTCTGTAGCTCTTTGACTAGGGGTCAGACCTTGTGAGGCCATCCTCAACCCATGCTGGAATGCAGACTCATGTGGTGTTGTGCAGTATTTATGCAAACAACCATGGAAGCAGAGAGTTCATGGGTAAAATCTTACCAAAGTGGAGCTAACCACTGGAAACCATTGACTGTGGCATTTCTCTAGTGCATCACAAAAAAAGCAGAGCTAAATGAATGTAATTAAGTATGTGACACCAAAGGCTTTTAAACTGTAAGTGTTAGAAACTGAAGAGCACTTACTAATTGATACCCTCTTTTGTTTTATAGTGTCCTGATTCAGCATGTAAGCAGGATTTATTAGCCTACCTTCAGCGGATTGCCTTGTATTGCCATCAGCTTAACATCTGCAGCAAAGTGAAGGCTGAAGTTCAGAATCTGGGAGGAGAGCTCATTGTGTCAGGGGTAAGCTGGGATTCTGGCTTCACAATGTCAAGTCCCCAATGCTGTACTTCCAAGGCAAGCATTCTTGGCAACAGTACTGCTAAAACACCAAATGACAGTGATTCACAGCTTTAAAAAAATGTTATCACCATTATTCCAGACCTTACAATAGCTCACAAAGAGCAATTTGATTTTCCAATTACCCCATGTTTATACTAGCCTTGTAAAACCTCCATTCTTCACAAGAAAACTAATTTCATAGTCTGGAAACTCATTGCCAAGCTGTGACTATTCTAATTATTGGGGGCTTTTTGCATATTTACTCATTGTGAGTCGGCTTCCCCTTTGTTAGTGCCGGTAATTTTCATTCTCTGTTCAGGAGCCAGCCTCTCTAAATGTGGACTGTGTTCACAAGTTAGAGACGATGAGACATTTATCAGGTTCCAATGCACACTAGGTTCTCAGTAACCCTTGGCAGTCAATTGTCTGAGTTTAATACATGTTGATGTGCTGTTGCCAAAACCTTAGGTAGTTATCAAACACTGTGTTATATATTCTTGGGTAGATCACCCTAATATTTTTTTTCATTAAAAAAAAAAAAAAAAACCTATCTAAATCATTTCCATCAAAGAATAGAAACAAAAAGTTCATGGAATTTTTAGAAGAATCAAATCAAGGTTTCTTGGCAAGATTTCCAAATGTTTGTGTCGAGGCTCTTCACCTTGACTCCTTTTCCTCCCTCCTCCCCTTTCTCTCTCAACCCAGGGTGCCATTTGCTATAACGATGTCCATGTTCCAAAGTGTGGCCATGCCACCCTTAGTTCTTTTCCCAGCTACCCATGAGGCAGCCACTGTACCTGTGGAATGAGCAGGAACAGAACCCTGTCAATGTGATGAGTGTGAGCAAATCGTCAGTTCCTTCTGACATCCTTTCTGTTGTCTTGGAAAGTCACCAGTACAGTTTGGTAAATCTCTGTGAATGAGTATAAACCATCCTCAAGGCAAGTGTTTCTGTCCCTGTGTGGCTTGCCTTGCTGAAAACATAGCTGGGGAAAGAGACGCTCTGGCTGGCATGCAGGTCCCATCTGGGCCGTCCGTTCCATGCAGTCGAACCTTAGAGCTCAGTCAGTTGGCTATTTTGTGCCTCTTCCCAAAGCACAGTCACCTCTTTGCATTTCCCAAATGATCCCTGCTTCAACATTCTTCCACGGTCAAGCTACCTGTCTTGCAGTGTGTCTTTTTTGTCTATCTGGTGATGATCAATTCTCCTTTGCCAAGAAGTGATCAAAACATTGCATCTCCCTTGCTTCCTTTCTGATCTTCAGCCGTGATGGTACAGCTCTCCATACCACTCTGCTTCCATATCCATTTGTCCGCAGCACCTGTGAAACCAAGTGCTTTTTGTTCCGCTTGCCTCATGTGCTTCCATTTGTTACTTTTCTTTCAAATCTTACGATTGACACGGATGCTCAGGGTATCCTTGTGGATCTCAGACTCCATCCCTCTCATCTGGGCGAATAATTTCCCTGGTAGAGCTGCTGTCCATCAACTTCTCAGTACTCATTGTCTGTCACTGCTGCTAGAGCTTCATTTCCATCGTCCTTCATCATGTAGATGTAGCCCATGGCTTTGAATCACTCGCACTGTTGGCGTTTGCAGAGGTGTTTGAGACCGAGAACACCACCAAGAAGCCTGTTTCCTTCCTAGAGTCTTACTAAGCTCATAAGTCCTCGCGTGGGAGAAGGCTTCTTATGCAGGAACGCTATATACCTCTATGATAAAGCAGAGTCAAGTGCGTTATGAACATTGGCTGTCATACTGCTCAGTTACGCTCCTACTCAGGGCCGCCTCATGGCTTTCGTTTACTAGCTTGACTGCTGTGTGGTTGCCTCATCTGCATCTGTAGCCCGCTGTCTCTCCCACTTCTGCTGTCGTACGAGTCCTCATCCTTTTTCACTGATAGCCTAAATGAAGAAAAATGTAAGACGCAATAAACATATCGTGCAAAATAGCCACAAATGACTGCCTTCAGAGTTCTGAAAGTCAAGGGTAGGAGACCCCATACATACAAATTTTCAAATATTTTGCCAAGAAAATTTCACCAGTGTATATGCCTCATTTGTATTGTTCTCCTTTGGAACAAAATGGCTACGTTTTTCAAGAGAAGTAGCTATTTCACATATATTATTTCAAAAGGAGATATCTTTCTCTTGCTTGCCTTCCCCTTATCCATGGAGTTCATCAAAATGGTTTCTTCTCTGAAATATATGAAAACTACCAGGAAGTCTGCATCCCTGTTAAATGAATAGAGATTTGGATAGGTTATCTGCAGTTGCCAAGAAATATTGACTTTGAAAAGATAAGTTATGTTTTATGCTAACATGGTGAGCACATATTAAAATAAGATACACATGTATATACCATGTCTGCATATTGATGTTTTATCTATTTCTGGCCTGGAACTGGCCTGTTTTACTGTGCCTGCTTTTGACTTGAAATGGTGGAGAAGGAAAAGTGAACTAATTATGGGAGAGAATGGCCATAAAAACCTCTTTCTGAGTCATGACAGAAATTACAGTTCAAGTTCAAGGTGTAAGTCTTTGGAGACATTCTCACATCTCCTGTCTGAAAGTCACTCATTCTCTGCTGGTAATCTATTTTCTAGGTTGGCTTATATAATTTTGAACAGCCCAAAGGTGCAGTTCTTATTAAATTTCAAGACAGTATGTGTGTTTGTGAGCCAACCCGTCCAATTTAGTTATAAATAAAATAATGCACATTTTTTAAAATCAATAGAATGATATGAATATTAGGACAAAGAAAGAAATGGATTTAAGAGATAGCCAGTTCGAGTATGAACTAACCGTTTAAATTTTGTGTTGTTTGATGTTGTAAGTCCATTTCGGGGAAAGAAACAAAGGATGAAGGGGTGCGTGAAGAAGCATAACGCAAGAAGAAAAAGGGGGGAGGGGAGGAGAAACTTTGCCACGGTGTACCAAAGTAGTTTAGCATAACAGCATGTTAAATGTGACGGCATTGTATTATCATGGGAGGAAACTTGAGCCAAAGTGTACTTTTGTCTCCTTTAAGTGGCTGTGTGTATAGTGGTGTATGTATCTGTTAGAGCTGTGCAAGTGCACAAGTGGGTATCCATCCACATTTGTGCACATGCATGTGAAGAAAGACCAGCATGGGCTCTCTTTTCTCTGGCACTCTCCACCCTTGTTCTGTGAGAAAGCGTCTTCCAGGCAAACTGAAGCCCATTGATTTGGCTTGTCTGGATGGCCCACCAACGAGCTTCAGAGATCCACTTGTCTCTGCGTCCTCTGGTGCTGTGTTCCAGGCACAAGCCACAGTGATGGGCTTTTCACATGGTGCTGGAGCTAGATCTCAGGTCTTTATGCTTACAAGGGAGCCAGTTCATCAGCTTGCTGACTCTTCAGGCCCCAGAGCCAAAGTTTTTTAAAAAATGTAAATGTTACTTTGATTATTTGTTATTTTAATTAAAATGAATTCTTCATATATTACACCCCAACCTAGCTCCTCCCACCTCCCTCTAGCTCCACCTCCCTCTAGCTCCTCCCACCTCCCTCAAGCCCCAGGCCCACTCCCTCTCTGAAAAGAGCAGGCTTCTAGAGATGACAGCCAAACAGGACAAAACAGGGTCTAATAGAACAAGGTGAAAGCAATCCAACAGGAGGAAAAAGAGTCTCAAGAGCAAGCAAAAGATTCAGAGATATACTGACTCCCACTGTTAGGAGTCCCACAAAACCACCAAGCTGACAGCCATGAAGTATATACAAAGAGGACCTGGTACAGACACATAAAGGCCCCTTAGCTTGCGGTGTCAGTCTCTATGAGCTCATTGAACCCTGCTTAGTTGATTGAGTGGACCATGTCATAATAAAATAATTGTCTGAACTTTAAAAATGTAGCATTATTCATTTTAGAACTTTACAGAATATATTTTGATTGTATTCACCAAACCCTCTCCTAAGCAGCTCCAGACCTAACCTTGACCTCCCCACTCCTTTCTGACCTTTTGTTCTCTTGAAAAAAAAAAACTTGTTTTGAAGATTTATATTTTATATATACATGTGAGTGTCTGCATGTGTGTCTATGTACTTCTTGTAGAGGCTAAAATACAGTATCCTATCCACTAGAACTGAAGTTACAATTTTGAGCCACCATATGGGTGCTGGGAACTTTAATGCAAACAAGTGCTCTTAATTGTTGAGCCATCTCCCCAGACTCTCTATCCTGTCCTTTTCTTCCTTCCTCCCTCCCTCCCTTCCTCCCTCCCTTTCTTCCTCTCTCCCTCTTTCCCTTCCTCCCTCCCTCCCTTCCTTCCAAGTCTGTCCGTCTGTCTGCCTATCTTCATAGGAGCCCATTGAGACCACCTTGTGCTACATGTAAATGTATGTGTGTGGGGCCATTCACTGGATTGTAGGTAATCTACCAGAACTCCCTTAAAGGCCAATTCTCCCTCTCTCATAAGCCATGGCGTATCAGTAGCTACTTAGTTAAAGGTGATGCTCTTGAGGGGCTTGCACCTCTGTGCTGGGATGCTGACTGACTTGATCCTGTGCAGGGATTGTACACGTAGCCATAGCACCTGAGTTCAGGAGTGCAATGGTCCCTCCATGTCCATAAGACACAGTTTCACTTCCTAGGTGGCCTCTCAGCCTCGAGGGAAAGTGATGACACACTTGCCTCCTATGTGGCTGAACACTCACTGATAGTTTTTCTCTGCCGTTTTATCAGTTGTGAGATTCTGTGCTAACCACAATCCACTGCACAAAGAAACTTCTCAGATGAGGTCTGAGGGGTCCACTCATCTATAGTTACAGAGAATAAGGAAAGAACTGCATGTTATTCATTACTGTGTTTGGAATGGTGGTGTATGTGTGTATGCCACAGCAATTGTATGGAGGTCAGAGGTCAATTTTGTGAGTCAGTTCCATCCTTCAACCTTTAAGTGGGTTCTGGGGATCGAACTCAGTTCATCAGATCTGTGTGAC